TTTTCTGGTGGTCGTGGTGGTGGTGGTGTGTGGGGGGAAACCAATGCTTAGCTCACAACTCAGAGGCTGTATACTTTATTTCTGGGCGACGTGTATTCAGCCCCAACTGTGTTCTCTGGCTCCTTGAGATTTGGAGTCCGCCACTCTGTGGGACTAAGGTACCACAGCTGCAGCAGAGTGCTAGTGGATATGGGGTTTCTGCCTGTCTTTGGGCATTCACCTCAGTGGCAGATGCAAAGCAGCTGGGAGGGGAGTGAGGGATACTGCTGGAGACTGTGTGCTGTTGCACTAAAGGTGCTGGGGGCAGGATGCTGGCCAGTAAAGGTTTTCATACCTTCTCTGTGCCCCCCAAAAAGGAGTGATTGTTCAGTGTGTGGGAGGATACCCTGTTCTCCACACACAGTTAGCACAAAGGCAGGGGTGGGACTTCCTCTCTGCTCACCAAAGCTTCATCTATGATGGCAGTTGCTGTGGGTGGCAGGGGCATACTGTGTTCCCATTTGCTGGTGGGGCAAGCAAAGCCAAACCCTCTTTTGCAAACATGTGCCAGCAAAGTAATATGAGAAGGTGCCATGGTCTTGGAGAAAACTGCAGTATGGAGAAGAAACATGTGGGCTGGTGGTCATAGGGGCTGCCTTGCTGGAGCTCTTCATGGGTCAGGCATGGCCCAGCCCATCAGTGCAGATGCTGTAGTATGGGCTCCCAAGGTACCTGAGACTGACCTGTAAGCATCTGTGGCCACACTGGGTCCCTGGGAGAGGTCAGCAGACCAAGGAGTACTCAGTTGGACCAGCTTCTTCTGATTTGCAAAACCATCCTGCAGCAATTAGGTCCAACAGTTCCCCTAGGGCTAAAGCCTCTTATGGACAAAGTTGAACCTAGATAAATGGCCATCACTGGTCAGTTTACTACAGATACTCTTGCACTGAACCCTGTGGGCACCATATGAACTGGCTGCTTTCCCACCTCTTTGCTTGTCATCTGGGGGCTGCATCTTAGAGAGATGTAGGACAGCAATCAGTGCAGTCAGCCCAGGATTGAGAAGCTGTGCTTTGGGCCAAGTTAGGGGATCACTGTCTGGTAATGAATAGTAGGTAATTTGTGGGATCCATGGAGGATGGATGGGCCTCCTCTCCTTGGTAAACTTGCTTGAGGTATGAATAAGGCACTTAGTGTTTTGGATTTTTTTTTTTTTTTATAGGGTGTCTCGCTCTTGTTACCCAGGCTGGAGTGCAATGGCGCGATCTCGGCTCACCGCAACCTCCGCCTCCTGGGTTCAGGCAATTCTCTTGCCTCAGCCTCCTGAGCAGCTGGGATTACAGGCACGCACCACCATCCCAGCTAATTTTTTGTATTTTTAGTAGAGACGGGGTTTCACCATGTTGACCAGGATGGTCTCGATCTCTTGACCTCGTGATCCACCCGCCTCGGCCTCCCAAAGTGCTGGGATTACAGGCTTGAGCCACCGCAGTGTTTTGGATTTTTTATTAGTCTGACGGTAGCAAGGACAGTTCTATAGAGGCAGTGGCAGAAGTATTTTCAGTTTCCCCTGGAGGCTCTGTCCACGGAGCCACTAAGTTGCTTCTGGCTCAGTAGCTCTGGCAATGATTGGCTAGTGGCCTAGGCCTGGAGAACCTGCTCAGTGAGAATATGAGAACGTTCACTCATGTAAGTCTGGCAACTTTTCTGAAGGGCTGCGGCAGTATGCTGTTCTCCACTGCAGTTTCTAGTCGCCTCAGATTTTCCAGTGCCTGAGGTCATCACCAGTGAATGCTGCAAAACAGTAACAATGGCAGCCTTCCCTTTTCTTTGGGAGCTCTATCCCAGAGAGGCATAGACCTGTTTCCAGCCCGAATGCACCTGTAGGAGGTAGCTGGAAACCCCTGTTGAAAGGTCTTACCCAGTGAGGAGAACATAACTGGGGACCCACTTACGAAAGCAGTCTAGCCACATCTTCAAAGGACAACACTGCTGTGCAGAGGCACCACTTCCACCTTCAGTTTATTTGGACGCTCTAAAGCCAGAAGATTGGAACAGCTAAGTCAAACAAACAGCAAAAATGGCAGCTTGCTCTTCCCTCTAGGAACTATATCCCAAAGAGGTTTCAAAACTTTATCAACCAAAGAGCACTGGTGGTAGGAGCTAGAGACCCTGGTTGGGAAGTTCTTTCCAGTGAGGAGGAACAGGACTGGGGACTTGCTTTAACAGACAGCCTGGTCATGTCTTTTTAGAGCACCTTTACTGTGCTGGGAGATCCCTTTCTGCCCCCAGCTTGGGCTCTTTAAAGCCTGAAGGCTGGAATGGCTAAGTTGCCCAAGCAGCAAAGGTGGGTGGCCCACTTCTTTTTTTTGGTAGCTCCATTTCAGGGAGGTGCAGTGCTGCTTCCAATGGTTGACTGGAATTCTAAGCCAGTAGTTCACTGTGGAAGTGAGTCCTATAGACCGTCACTGCTCAGACCCCTGGATCCTACCTCTTTCCTATGGATATGTACAGGGGTGTAACCTGTTTTGCTGGAGTTGCAGCCACTTTTTCTGGGAAGCCAGATTATCTAAGGCTCTTGAATCTCTGCACAGGCCTGAGCAGCTTCTTTGCTGAGACTTCGTGAAGCTGTGTGTGTTAAACTGAAGGCCTTGGTGAAGTGGGTTCATGAGGGTATCTCCTGATTTGAGGGTTGCAAAGATCTGTGGGAGAGCCATGGGTTCCCAGGGTCACACATGCACTCACTACTTTACTGGGTGGGGAGGTTCCATTGGTTCCATGTTCCCGGGTGGTCCGTTGTTCTGCCTTGCTTTACTCTATTCTCCATAAGTTAAGTTGTTTCTTTGATTAGTCCAAATGCAAGTACCTGTATGTTTTAGTTGAAGGTGCTGTATTTATGCACACCTTGCATTCCTCTCTGTGAGAACTACATAGTCTAGCTGCTTCTAGTCAGCAATTTTGATCACTTTCTTGTAAAAGGAACCTACTTTTTTATATTAAAATACATTTTCAAAAGCTAATATTGATGTAATTTAACTCTTACATTTAATGCTGTGTCTTCATTTCTAGAATTTGTGTGAAAGAATATGGTCTGGTTGCCGCATCAGAGTTAATGAGAGGTTCTTCTAGATTAAATGAACAAAGTTGTATACCTTTCCATGGAAGAGTAAGAAAACTGAAATCTAAGATACATGAAGAAATTATAAGTGGAAAGGCCACTTAGTGGTTGGTTTACAACAGTATCGTAAGTGACAGCATAGGTGTGTGGTAAGTGATCAGGATAACATTCTGCATAGTAAGTGAAACCGTTTGAATTTTAGAAGGAAATTTGCTTTACCATTTGCAAATTAGGGTAACTAAAATACAGTGAAGTTCCAAATGCCTTTTTAATGCAATGTGTGAACTTAATTTTTCATAAACTAAAATTTTGTGTTAAGGCTATTTTACATTGAATGTGTATCTTGCCAGTGATGTTAACTTATCCCAACTTACCCAAGATTATAGATAACAGATGGTAACAATATACTATTGGGTGACAGTGGAATAATCTCTCTCCTGATTCCTTTGTCAGTGGTCTTTAACTTAAAATGATTTGGAAGATATGGTTTCTACAACTTACATTTTTGTTTTTCTTGTAACTACAGGTGATTATGATGGTTGTAATGAAGATTATTTGAGTATAATGGAGCTGTGTGTTTCTGAATTCTGAACAACTGTTTACAAAATTTTATCCTTTTTTGTTGAACATATAAACACACACAGATTTTTAGTTTTGATTTACATGGATTTAAATAACAGATATGTCACTGTAAAGTAAACTTTAGGTGTAACAGATTTATAGAGACAGTAATCATATTTGTTTATAGTTGTGTGCCTACTTTGAGAAGAAAAGAAAAATATTAGAATAAAACATAACTTTACACGTGTTGATAACTTACCAGCAAACCAGAAACTTCAGATATTTTGAATGCAAATCTATTAAGTTCATTTAACTGAAATGTTATTGCTCCTGGCTTAGAGTCATCTTGTGCAAATTCTCTTTTTTGTTGTTGTCTGTTTGCCTGTTTCTCACCATAGACATATTATTTTATTTTTGTCTAATTTTATAAAACATTTTGTATAACCCCTCAGATTATGAAAGTGATAAAGTTTAATGATATTCACAAAATAATTTTCACACTTGAATAATTTCAGTGCATGTTATTTCGTATGTTTTATATTTTGTTTCAATTAGATAATGCTGTTTAATCCAATTTTCATTCAGTTATTTACTTTATAAAATTGACATAATTGAGTCTATTAAATTTATTAGATCAGTTTATTCAAGTAAACAGTTGACCTTTTAAAAAGTCATTAGTTCTTTTTGGCATATATGTGAAGTAAACAAATACAGTATTAGCTATGTAATAGAACTAATTATTAGAAATACTGTTTTTGGGCCGGGC